TGTCCTCACTGGGGCAAAGATCTCCTGCCTGCACTGAATTTCAGCTCTAATACCCACACTCAAGGCTCCACATGTTTTGAGCTGTTAGATGCATTAATTTCACGCCTTTGCTCCCGACACTGGGGAGGCACAGGATTTGGTTAAGCTGTTTAATTGCAGTAAATTTTTTAGCAGATAGTATTTTACAAGCTGCAGAAATACCTGCAAGGCTTGAGTGAGTGCCAGCAGTCCCAAAAGCCTGGAGCAAGCATGTGTGTGCTGGAACAAGGACTTTGGAAGAAAAGAATTGCAATTTATAGACCACAAAAATCAAACCCCAGACCAGAACATGCTTCATTAAAGTCTATTTTTCAAGCAGCCAAATAAAGGCATTGGTGATGGAGGATTGTGTAGGTTGATGCTATTGTGTGTGGACTAGAGTCACTATTCAGTAAGATCAGCACAACAAAGATATCACCAACAAGGACAATCAGCACAGAATGATTTGGGTTGGAAGGACCTTAAAGCTCATCTCCTTCCTTTGCCATGGGCAGGGATGCCTTCCACTAGCCCAGGTTTCTCTAAGCCCTGTCCAACCTGGCCTGGAACACTCCCAGGAGCAGAGCAGCCACAGCTTCTCTGGGCAACCTGTGCCAGAGCCTCAGCACCTCACAGGGAAGAAATTGCTCCCAATATCCCATCTAACCCTGCCCTCTGCCAGTGTAAAGCCATTTCCCCTGTCCTGTCACTCCAAGTCCTTGTCCAAAGTCCCTTTCCAGCTCTCTTGGAACCCCTCTAGGTTCTGGAAGGTGCTACAAGGTCACCCCAGAGCCTTTCCTTGTCCTCTCCCCACACCTCCACTTTGACATTTGCCCAAGCTCCCACCACACATTCTTATGCAGCAGAGAAAAGAACCACCTCTTCACCACCACCCATTGGGTCTCAGCTGGTTTTTAACCCCAGCTGTGGTGGAAGGGGATCCCCTTTGCCCCCAAGTAAGGGAAAGGGCCTCACAAAAACAGAGTTCCATTGGAAATCCCATCTCTAAAGTGCTCACATGTAGATGCTGACCCCAGACGCAGCAAACAATCCACTTATCTCTGCCTCAGATGTGGGAAGACTTCATCTCTCACTGCTGCAATTTTGTATTATTTGCTTTCCGAAAGTTGATTAAACTCCTCAAACCCATTGCCTAGAGCAGTAGCAACAGCCTGTTAGCCCAGTTCCAGCAAGGACTTCAAAAACCACAAACACCTCTTGCTTTTGACCACGACCATAGGTTTAGTATGCCACAAGTTACTCTTGAGATGTATTTCCAGAAGGCTGTTGCAAGATCTTAGCCATAAGAAGCTTGGAGAGATTTGATAAAACCCAGCACAGCATTGCCCTCCTGGCAGGTACACCATGGCCCTCCCACCCACGGGCACAGAGCTTCCCTGTGCTCTCCAAGGAATTCCCCACCTTGACCTGTGCTAGAGCAAGGGCACATGTAGTTGCTTGCAAATGAATAGTCAGGCTCTAAATTTTTTCACCTTCCCCTTCTCCTGTGCTTGTCCAATGCCCCCAGTCCTGGTGGGACCTCGGGGGGCCCTGGAGCCCCCGCTCAGAGGCGTCTGCTCTGGCTGCAGGTGGTGCACAGGAGGTTGGTGTTGGCCAGAGTGAAGGGTTTGCCCATCAGCAGTGTCTCACACTCCAGGCAGGCAAAGTGCTTGTTGTGCCAGGCCAGCCCTTCTGCCTGTTGGTAGTCCTCCGAGAAGATGATCTGTGGGACAGACAGATGAACAACTGTTTATTCCCACCATCTTGCTAAGATGGTGCTAAGTAGGGAGAACTGGTCCCACACCTCCCACCAAGCCCATCAGCCCTGGAGACCAGGCTTTGAGATTGGGCTTATAAAAGAATCATAGAATGGGTTGGAGTGGAAAGGACCTGTAGATGTCACCTCATTCCATCACCTCTGTCATGGACAGGGACACCTTCCACTAGAATGAGTTGCTCAGAAGGTCTGACTGAGCCTGCACCAGGATCTTGGTGCTGGCAGGAGCAAAGGGTCACTAGCCAATCCCTACCCTGGTGCCAGCAGGATCAGAGGGATGCTGGCTGCTCCCTACTGTGACACAGGAGGGATACTGGACTGTCCCTACCCCAGCACAGGAGGGATCAGAGGGACACCAATCCATCTCTACCCCAACACAAGAGGGATCAGAGGGACACCAGTCAATGAGCTGGTCCTTACCCTGACACAGGAGCAATCAGAGGGACAACAACTCATCCCACCCCAGCACAGGAGGGATTAGAGGGACATGGATCAGAGGGACACCAGTCAATCTCTACCCCAACGCAGGAGGGATCAGAGGGACACCAGTCAATCTCTACCCCAACGCAGGAGGGATCAGAGGGACACCAGTCAATCTCTACCCTGGCACAGGAAGGATCAGAGAGACACCAGTCCATCCCTACCCCAACACAAGAGGGATCAGAGGGACACCAGCCTATCCCTACCCCAGCGCAGGAGGGATCAGAGGGACACCAACCTATCCCTACCCCAGCACAGGAGGGATCAGAGGGACTCCAGCCCATCCCTAACCCAACACAAGAGGGATCAGAGGGACACCAGCCTATCCCTACCCCAGCACAAGAGGGATCAGAGGGACACCAGTCAATCTCTACCCCAACGCAGGAGGGATCAGAGGGACACCAACCCATCCCTACCCCAACACAAGAGGGATCAGAGGGACACCAGTCCATCCCTACCCCAGCACAGGAGGGATCAGAGGGACACCAGCCCATCCCTACCCCAACACAGGAGGGATCAGAGGGACACCAACCTATCCCTCCCCTGGCAGAGGAGGGCTCAGTAGGCACCATCCATCCCTACCTCGTCGCAGCCGGCGCAGCGCGGCCGGAGGCTCTCGCAGTAGTGGCGGCCACAC